ATTTCCCCATAACGATGTTGCTTAGCAACCGGCGTAAACGGAGCTCAGCGCGCTATCAAGCAGTGAGCGTGCGATGTCCTGTTCAGATGACGTCAAACCCAACGGGATGCCATAAATAAACTACACAGAATCACACTACACACCTACGCAATGATTACATTCAGGCAGACTGTAGAATACAACCTCTCTGGATATACTTATTGGAAACAAGCTACAAAATGTAAACACCTTGGAAAATGCTCTTTAATAGCCTTAATTTTCACTAAATTGATTTATCAACTTTTAATACTTTAAGACCCCGCAGACCCCCTGAAGAATCAAAATATTAAAATGAAATAATAATATGTAAACCCAAGTAAAAGAAAATATATAGAATGAATACAAAAGTCAGTAAACACAAACCAAAAACCCTTGCTAGTGGTACAAACAACTTTATTTACAGTCATGTTTTGTCACATTAAAACAGTATGTACAACACATACAGGAACCTCCACAGATGGAGACAAACAGGAGAGGAGGGTACAGTAAAGTGTAGAGAAGAAGTGGAAATCAGAAAGTCTCTAGAAGTTGAAACTTGTGCTTTGGTTTTCACTGATCTGGAACGCATAGCCGTCATCGGTCACTTCGGGAACCACAGACTGAACCACCTCGTCCTTTAACAACAGAAACATCAAGTTAAGACGAGTCATAGGTTTAAAAAAAGGTCAGTTTAAAATCAGTTTGAAGAAGAGACGTACCTCGTCAGAGAAGTATTTCTCGATCAGGTTGAGGGAAGCTTTGTAGACCATCTCGTTCTCGTGATTCTGCAGAGCTTCGATCTTGTCGAGTCCTCCGCACTCTTCGACCATCAGACTCAGCTTATCGGACTCGCCGATTTTATCCCCAGCCTGGAAGGAAAACATGCATAAACGTTACTTCAGAGCCACGATGTTGCAGGAAGGACTCCTAAAACCCGGAAATTAGTTGTCATTTTTAGTTTAGTTGAATGTATTTTTGGTTGTCATCCTATAATGTCAGTAGTTAACACAAGCTGAAGAGATTTTTAAAAATTCTACCAAAGAATGTCCGTAAATACTACCCTACTGGTGAATTAAAAAACGGCGGCAACGTGTTTAAATGAGACGCCTAAACGCCATCACGCCCAACATTAGCCTCCTTTAGCTTAGCGGTGGTGACGTGAAGTCATGTGACCGTGCTGTAGTTCCTTTATAGCCCAACATTAGCCACCTTTAGCTTAGCGGTGGTGACGTGAAGTCATGTGACCGTGCTGTAGTTCCTTTATAGCCCAACATTAGCCTCCTTTAGCTTAGCAGTGGTGACGTGAAGTCATGTGACCGTGCTGTAGTTCCTTTATAGCCCAACATTAGCCTCCTTTAGCTTAGCGGTGGTGACGTGAAGTCATGTGACCGTGCTGTAGTTCCTTTATAGCCCAACATTAGCCACCTTTAGCTTAGCGGTGGTGACGTGAAGTCATGTGACCGTGCTGTAGTTCCTTTATAGCTTAACGTTAGCTTTTTACTTCAGAAATATTAAAGTGGTGTTAATATGTGGAGATGATCCTGCTGAACAAAACGTGTAAGTATCATAAACGTTTGTTACAGAGATTATTTTCTGACATAATCCAAAATCCCAGGGAGAAATCCCATTGGACCAGGAGATGCTGCCTTCAGGGTCAGTTCAGATCCCACTCTATAGATCTTTTAAAGACTGTTGTGTTTCGGAAACACTCACCATGAAGATGTTGGTGATGGCATCCAGGATGACGAGGACGATCTTGCTGTCCTTGGAGGAGAGGAGGTTCAGCAGCGGCTCCAGGATGTTGGCTTGCACCAGGTAGACCACCTGCTGCACGGACCCCCCGCTGGTGAAGTTCGTGATGGCCCACACCGCCTCCTTCTGGGTTTTATAGTCACCCTGCAGAGAAAAGAGATGGAGATGATGAGCCATATGGTTATCACTAGCTATGTGCATATGACAATTGCAATCTTGAACTTCGGTTTTATGCTTCTTTATCATATTTAAAAAAAACAATAGGGCAGCAGGTAGCTCAGTCTGAAGCAACCAATAACGAGCTTAATAAAAACCCTTAACTAAACGTACCCGGAGCAGCACGTCCACCAGCAGGGGCACGAGCCCGGCGTCGATGACCTCCTGGATCTGGCAGTCCCTGCCGGCCGTCACGTTGGACAGCGTCCAGGCCGCCTCCTTCTGGATGTTGGCCTTCTTGTGGCGCAGCAGAGCGGGGAACATGGCGAGGGCTCCGGAGTCCAGCACCGCCTGCGTCTGCTCGTCTGTCCCCGTCACGATGTTCCCCAGGGCTCGCAGCGCGGGGGTCTGAGGGGGGAGAGGACAGTCAATGTATCATTATGATGATCGTCATATTTTCTGACTTAAAATAAAATAAAAATCATAATTCTGAACTTTTATCTCGTTCACATTTAAAAATCTCACAATCAGTTTTTCTTTAAAGATCTATCTATCTAGAGGCGAAGTCCCTCCCCTTCCGGTGGACCTCCATGGGACCTTATTTCAGATAAATTATGTATTGAAGTCAATGGAGAGAGAAAATTCATCTTTCAATCCTGTTTGAATTGTGCCACGAATTACACATATGATGTTTGTCAATTTAAAAGATAATTTTGCAAGTCAAGAAAAAAAAAGTGTCGTAAAACTGTGAAGTTACTTTTTTTTGTAAAAAAAAAAGGGGTTTGTTTTTCTTGTGTGTTACCAGCCATTGTTAACCAATCAGAAGTGGCCCATGATGGACAGATTGATCCAATCACTTGAAATACTTTTCCAAATGGCTTCCAATGGAGCTCTCCTAGATGGTTTGGTGAAACCATCTGAGTCAGGTTAGTAATGCTCCATCACATGTTTCTATTACAGGGTGAGTCTTAAACTGAAGCTTGACTTTAAAGCAACCCAACGTAAGCTTCATGTAAGTTTAGTTCTTTCACTCGTAGCTCGGGCTGCGGGGGCGCAATATCTGTCAGAAAAATCACAATTAGATTATTTCCCCAAATCGTGCNAACTGCATGGGGGGGCAATCCACCAGGCTCAGGAAGGACACGAACCTCGGGATGAGACCCGCGCTGATCAGCTGGTTGATCGGGGGGTTCTTCTCCCGGGAGAGGAGCTTCCTGTGAGGAGAGAGGAGAGGAGAGTTAGAGGAGAGGAGGAGGCGAGTTAGAGGAGAGGCGAGTTAGAGGAGAGGAGCTTCCTGTGAGGAGAGAGGAGAGGAGAGGCGAGTTAGAGGAGAGGAGGAGGCGAGTTAGAGGAGAGGAGGAGGTGAGTTAGAGAGGAGGGAGGAGTTAGAGGAGAGGAGGGAGGAGTTAGAGGAGAGGAGGTGAGTGAGAGGAGAGGAGGTGAGTTGAGTTAGAGGAGAGGAGGTGAGTGAGAGGAGGTGAGTTGAGTTAGAGGAGGTGAGTGAGAGGAGAGGAGAGGAGTTAGAGGAGAGGAGTTAGAGGAGAGGAGTTAGAGGAGAGGAGTTAGAGGAGAGGAGTTAGAGGAGAGGAGGTGAGTGAGAGGAGAGTGAGAAGAGATGAGGTGAGTGAGAGGGGAGGAGGGAGAGGAGGTGAGTTAGAGGAGAGGAGGTGAGTTAGAGGAGAGGAGGTGAGAGGAAAGGAGGTGAGTTAGAGGAGAGGAGGTGAGTTAGAGGAGAGGAGGTGAGTGAGAGGAGGTGAGTTAGAGGAGAGGAGGTGAGTGAGAGGAGGTGAGTTAGAGGAGAGGAGGTGAGTGAGAGGAGAGGAGGTGAGTGGAGAGGAGGTGAGTTAGAGGAGAGGAGGTGAGTGAGAGGAGAGGAGGTGAGTGAGAGGAGGTGAGTGAGAGGAGAGGAGGTGAGTGAGAGGAGAGGAGGTGAGTGAGAGGAGAGGAGGTGAGTGGAGGAGAGGAGGTGAGTGAGAGGAGAGGAGGTGAGTGGAGAGGAGAGGAGGTGAGTGAGAGGAGAGGAGGTGAGTGAGAGGAGAGGAGGTGAGTGGAGAGGAGGTGAGTTAGAGGAGAGGAGGTGAGTGGAGAGGAGAGGAGGTGAGTGAGAGGAGAGGAGGTGATTGAGTGAGGTGAGGTGAGTGAGAGGAGAGGAGGTGAGTGAGAGGAGAGGAGGTGAGTGAGAGGAGAGGAGGTGAGTGAGAGGAGAGGAGGTGAGTGAGAGGAGAGGAGGTGAGTGAGAGGAGAGGAGGTGAGTGAGAGGAGAGGAGGTGAGTGGAGAGGAGGTGAGTGAGAGGAGAGGAGGTGAGTGAGAGGAGGTGAGTGGAGAGGAGGTGAGTGAGAGGAGAGGAGGTGAGACTGTCAGACTTGATCACTATGGGGGAGTTCACACACTTCTCAGGTAGAAACAAAAGCCAAAGTAAAAAGAGAGGTCTTCAGTCGTTTTAAAAGAAGCTTCTGCAGAGCGGGTGTCAACAAGGAGAGAGTTCCACAGTGTACCTTGAACGCTCACCTTTATTTATATATAATAATAATAATGATAAATGTGTTTGTTGTTACCGTGCTGCCTGAGTGGCCTGCAGCTGAGTCTCTGCGTCTCCACTGTTCACTCCAGTGAGGATCTCCTCCACCGTCCACTGTCTGAACGCCTGGCAGGAGGACAATACAGGGAAGATCAAAACCAACAACAACAACTCTTTCTCCTAACCCCTAGCAGCTACATTGTCTAGAAACATGATAGATACAGCCAACAACAAAGAGGGTATGTGAACATGAACGCCTCCAAGTTACAATCCCATGTAATGTTACTTATCATTATCTAATTTGTTTCTTGGTCACATGAATACATTAGGCTGCAGTGATGTAGATACAGCTGACACAAGTAGGCGGTTGAGAATTTGATAAAACGTACATGTAATAAAAAGTATTTATGGAGGTCTATGTATTTCTACGACATAAATCCCCAGCCTATTTTAATTTAACAACTTTTAGAAGAATATATATTTGTTAGAATAGATTATAATGCCGTTCACCCCATGCTAATACAATAGCATTTTATCAGTGAAGCACAATATCCCTATCCCTCTGTTTAACGTTATCAAACCATAAGTTTCCATTTTATCAGATTGATTCTAATCAGCAGAAGAAAGTAGGCAACCATTTTGAATAGGACTGCTGAAAATGTTGATTAAATAAAAAAACACATATAGGGAGTTTCACAAAGACATGAATGCATATACAGTACATGCTAAAGTGATTTAAGGGTGGGGTCTGTGGTGTTAAAACCGACCCCTTACATTCCTCAACTAACAGATCTCAGATCAGAAGCACAGAGCAGAATACACTTCATTTTCAAAGATTAAACTACAAGAAAAGTTACATTATTGGCTTTTTATAACATTATAAATGCGGTTTTCTTGTATCCTCTGCATATAAAACCACATTTAAGTCGTGTAAAACCAGCTGGAACAATAGATTTAACGTTTCATTTGTTTTAAAATATGTTTTTAAAACGCTCACCTGACAGTTCTGGGTCCTCTCCTGAAGAGGGGAAGTGGCCTCGTCAGGAAACACTGCCACATTTCTCTTTTTGAACATCTGGTCATCTTTCTTCGCCTTTCGGAGCTCCACGTTCACCTCCACCCTCCTGCGTCGAAGCTCCTGCATTTACGGTCAATTGAAAGCCACATTTAAACTTCAAATATGTGGATTAAGAAGCTAAAATGTCGCAGAAATAAAACTCACATTGGCATCTTTGCCTTTGTTCTTGAATTTGTTCAGACGGTCGGCGTTCTCACATGACGGAGCAGACATGTTTGCAGGTGACAGGGAAGTTTAGCAGCAGTAAAAATTAAGTTTTAAGTGGTTTTTCCTGCAAAGAAATATAGGTTAAATCACTTTTAGCTGCCTCATGTCAAGCATATGGACGGATTGACACCAAAATAAACCCCTGACAGCCAGCTACAGTTGGTAATATCGTCAATAAACCACATAAAAGTATGCAAAACTGTATTTTTTCAAGGATAAAATGACATTTCTTTTAATAAAGCTTGATAAGTAGGAGACACGTTCTTACCTGGCTCTCGCTCGGAGGTTGTAATACTCGAAAAGTGCTGTACAGACCTTTAAATTACTGAAACTGAGCCCTCTGATTGGTCCGTTTGAGCAGAAGCATTCAGCCGCCTCTTCTCATTGGTCCGTTTGAAAAAATCTCGAAGCAAACAGGAAGTGTCGTAATGCGGGTATCGCGATATCTCCGTAGCGCGGCAGAATCAGACTTCATGGAAACTGATCCTGACTCGGTTTTTAACAGTCGTTCTGGTTTTTCATTGGATGCTTGTGACGGATGAGCTGATCCCAGATCTGTGGATTTCGGTCCTCATGGAATGACACTTATACATGGGACAAACCGTCCTAATAATCTATGGAAGACATTCTAGATAGAACAATGTCAATACTTTTTTGTACATTTACAATAGAAAACGACACGTTTCTTTGTTACTACTTAAGGTACCTCATGGTACACCTTTTTATCTAATAATTTCGATTTTTTTCATCACTTAACACTGACATTTTATCCCATAATTATGACTCTTTACTTCATAATTTCGATTAATCTCATAATTTCGATTTTTCTATCTCGTAATGATGACGTTAGATCTCATAATTGACCTTTTTATCTCCTCACTATCCCGTATTTATGACTATCTAATAATTTCAACCTCTTTTCATTTCAAAATCTTGTGACTTTGACTTTAAATCTTATATTTGATTTTTTATTTAATAGTTTTTACTTATTTTATAAATCTTTACGCAGTTCTCATCATTATGACAGTGTTTATTACTTTCTTTACCTCATAACTGCCACTTTAGATCTCATGATTGACTTTTTATCCCATAAATATGTGTCATTTTGACTCTTAATCTCATCATTTCTACCTTTTTTACTCGTTATGACTTTTGTATTTCATAATTTGGACATTTGTCTCATAACGCTGACTATATATATCTTTTTTTTTCTTCTCAAAAGCTCAGATTTTTGGGTACCGCTTTACAATAAGACTACCCTTATAAAGTGTTACGAATAGTTTGTAATTCATTTATTAATTAGGTTGTAAATAATTAATAAGCTTTTATAAGACGAGATAAAAAGGGCAACTGTGACCGGCTGCTTGCCAAATAGTGAGCCCACATTTATCTGTATTGCTAAGCCTTATTAGAAACGTAGTAACTCATTAACAAATGGTGATTTGTTTCACACTTTACAATAAGGCTCCCTTTTGGCAACTATAAATGTTACTAACTCATAAACAAATGGTCAAAAAGAGATGCCAAGAAGCATCAAGATGGAAGGGGGGCAGATGAAGAAAACGAAGTAAGCTAGGTAGCGAATATAAGGCTTAGTCATCTTG